TAAAAAGATGGAAGGAATATATTAAAGAACTTTTTGAGGACACCAGGGATGATATAGATATGAGAAGTATAACAACTGGACCAAATATCACTATGGAAGAGGTTGAACATGCAATAAAAATAACAAAAACAAGAAAAGCCACAGGACCTGATGATATCCCAGTAGAAATTTTAAAATTGCTGGAAGACAATGGGAAGAATTTTTTACTGCAGCTCTTCATCAGATATATAAAACAGGAAAGATACCAAACGATTGGCTAAAATCAACCTTTGTGACAATCCCCCCAAAAATAAATGCAAAGAAGTGTACCGAATACAGAACAATAAGCTTAATAAGTCATGCTCTGAAAATATTCCTGAGAATAATTCATACAAGAATATACAGCAAAATTGAAGAGTGTCTAGGTAACACACAATTTGGTTTCAGAAACAATCTTGGTACACGAGATGCGCTGTTCAGCATTCAGGTTCTTGTACAGAGTTGTAGAGATGTCAATCACAGTGTTTACATGTGCTTCATTGATTTCGAAAAAGCTTTTGATAAAATAAGACACAGCAAACTATTAGAAATCCTGAAACAAGGGGGACTAGATGACAAAGACATCCGAATAATAAAGAATCTGTATTGGAATCAGGTAGCAAATGTGAGACTAGGCCAAAAATACTCAGCTGATGCAGAAATAAGAAGAGGGGTCAGACAGGGATGTATTCTGTCTCCACTGTTGTTCAATATCTACTCTGAGTCAATCTTCATCGAGGCACTGGAGAACATCGATGCTGGCATCAAAGTAAACGGTGTTTGGATCAGCAACTTAAGATATGCTGATGATACAGTTCTGCTTGCCAGTAAGCATGAAGACCTTCAGCTCCTCATCAACAGAGTCACAGAAATATTTGAAAAATGCGGCTTGAAGCTTAACACCTCAAAAACCAAGATCATGGTCGTCAGCAAACAACCCGTTAATTTACCACCAATAAATTCAGAAGGAATACCACTAGAAAGAGTTGAAAAGATCATGCACCTTGGTTCTAATTTACATGAAAGCTGGGACATGACCTTTGAAGTAAAGACAAGGATAGAAAAAGCCCGAACAGCATTCTTCAAAATGAAAAAGGTCTTCTGCAGTCATGACATAAGCCTAAGACTGAAAAATCAGGCTTGTCAGATGCTATATTTTTTTCTATCCTGCTCTATGGAGTAGAGAATTGGTCTCTGACAGAAGGCCACCTGAAGAGACTAGAAGCATTTGAAATGTGGATTTACAGGCGGCTGTTACGTATAAGCTAGGTTTGCAAGATCAGAAATGAGGAGGTGATAAGCCACCTGGGAAAGCCAAGGGAAATCATCAAGACAATTAAAAAAATGAAAATTAGAATATTTTGGACATGTGATACGACACCCAGAAAAATATGGCATACTCCATTTAATCCTCCAGGGAAAGATTGAAGGCAAATGAGGTCCAGGCAGAAGAAGAACATCATGGCTTCAAAATCTAAGGGATTGGTTTGGACAAAACTCAGCAGCACTTTTTCGTGCGGCTGCTGATAAAAACAGGATCGCCAACATGATCGCCAATGTCCGATAACGGATATCGCACAATAAGAATATATATATGTGTGTATGTGTATATGTAGATAGATGTAGATGATGTAGATGTACTGTAGATGTAGATAGACAGACTTGTATAATGCAAGAGCTAGAAAGAGGGCTGTGAAAATTTCTACAGACCCCTCACATCCTGGATACAATCTGTTTCAACTTCTTCCCTCAAGATGATGCTATAGGGCATTACACGCCAAAACAACGAGACACAAAGACAGTTTTCCCCCCCATGCTGTGAAATAACTATTTCTCACAACACTGTCCATGCGCTGGGATGTCAAACCACCTAGTAGGGCTGTATTACTTATTCTTCTCATCTCTCCTATTACCTATTTCCTTATATTCTTATGACTACAACTTCTTGTTGTATATCATGTTTTATGTTGATTTCTTTTATTTAGTATCCTATGATTTATGTTTATTGCTTTAGTATCCCATGATATATTTGCTCAGGATTGAAATGAGGGGTCCTTGGTGCTGTCTGAGCTTGGAGCACTGGTGGTGTTACCTAGGTAATGAAATAACCAAGCTCAGATAGCACCAAGCACCTACACACACACACACACACACACACACACACACACACACACATACTCACAGAGTTATTTTTATTCATACTTGGATATCTATAAGTAGGTTTATTTCAAGAAAAAATAAAGGTTGATATAATCTATTTGAGGCATTCCAAATTCCCACTTCAGAGATTTGAAGAATTGTTTTGCATAGATGATACATCTGAGGCTCTTTTGAACTGAAGTGATTGAACTATTAGTTTTCTGGCATGCTGGGTTCACACTAATCTAAACAGATCTAGTATAAGTGGATATGGGTCATTTGAAGAATGAAAGGATTGCATTCAGACTCTAAATAGAAAGAAATACAAAAAAGAATATGATGTTAACATAGCTATGATCTATGGAAACAACCAACTAATTAAGATCAAGCTATGTATAGCCTGATAAATAGTAGCGATGCTAAGAAAACTGGAATGCAAATCAATAATATACTAAAATATAAAAACAACCCAGCAGATCAATTGAAGGAAGCCAGAACAAGGAAGAGCTAGGAATGGACAGTTTTCAGGAAAGACACCCTAGCACAGCAGCCCCCAACCTTGTGGGCACCAGGGACAGAGATTTTTCCGCATACCAGAGAGTGTGTGGTTTTGTGTGCTGCCTGCAATCCAATGGATGGAGTTTCATTTGTTTGCACAGCCCAGTTTCTGGCATGCCGTAGACCAGTGTCCTGGCAAATTATCCTAGCTAATTTAATCATGTAATAGCAATATTTCAGAAAACATTGGAAAGAAGACTGGAATTTCATGAAGGAGACAATTTTTACAATCTTGCTTCTAGTCTTGTTTTGCAGCCAGATCACCCATTGTTGCTCTGATAGGTAACCTCTTGTAAGAGAGAGATGGGGGAAGGACTCAAATCAGATGAGATCGAATATTTATTACAATGTAATGGGAATGTGACTATTGATTCTGCTTGATCTCTCAGCAGAATTTGATCCAATTAATCAAGGTAAAACATGTTTTTGAACTGGAAGTTGGGAAAATATTTGTCCATTCCAGTGGTCCTCAACTAAGTAATTTAGTAGCAGTCATCACAAATTATATCCTTGAAAACCAGCATTTTCTATTTATAAAACCTTTAGTAAACTATCTGAGAACTGCTGTGTTAATAGTCATAGAACAATATCCTACAATTAACAGCATAGGTTAACCTTAAAATCAATAAAGATCTATTGAAGAGATTTATCTTAATGATTTTTATGTTAGTGATGGTATAACTATATGGGTGGATGAGAAAGAGCCTGATGTAGGAAGTCATTAGCAACAATTTATTTAGTGAATCTTGGTTTTTCATTCTTGAGGAGGAGATGGATGAGACTGGATAGTTCCCTGTGTTAATTAATACAACATATAGATTTCCAGCCAGTTATATGTTATCCCTGGATATGAGCATGCAAACTATCCTGGGTAAAGAAGCAGGCTGAGACATACTTGCTCGGGAGGAGAGCATCCTGCCCCACTTCACAAGGCACACCTGGGGAGCAGGTTTTAAGGAGACACTGTGGGGTAGGGCATTTGCCGGGAACAAATGTGAAATCTTGAGATAGTGTGCTCTTGTAACCTGGACACTTTGTATTCTGGATCAGTTTGCTTCCTGCTGGTCTCTCCTTGCAATCTGCAGTGTGCAGTTCGCAGTTCACACGCAAGCTGGGAGTTAAACGTTTGCTTGTTATCTGTCTTGCTTTAAGAACAGTGTAAACTTCCCTGGCTGTTTTGTTTGAACTTGTGCCAGCATATGTGGGGGCTGTTGGGTGAACATTGGCAGTGATTAAAAAGACTATTGCTCTGGCCAACTGATTGCTTTGCCTCCATTCGGGGCCCTGGGTCATCACAAATATGCTGGTTTGAATGTTAAGTATCATATTGGCTTAAAGTGGCACATGGGATAGAGCAGAGGGATCTTTTGGGCACCAGGGACTGGTTCCATGGAGAAACGTTTTTCCACAGACCGGAGAATACGTGGGTTTGTGTGCTGCCTGCATCCCATGGATGGGGATTTGCTTGTTTGTGTGGACCGGTTGCTGGCATGCCGCGGCCTGGTACCGGTCCATGGACCGGAGGTTAGGGACCCCTGGGATAGAGGACATTAGTACTTTTAATTCCTCTGTTTCTATTTTACTCCAGAAATTTGGTCCCATCAAAATCTCAAAGACAGATGTGTAGTCTTAAAGAAATATTGCTATTTTCTGAAATAAAGGCATCTCTATAAATATAAATATAAGGGTTGTCAAATCAATTAGAGAAGCCCTTCACTCATGGCAGGTTCAGTATGGCACATCAGATGATTTGGGAAGACTTTTAAGGTAAACCTAAATCTTTGGGAGACTTCACTTAGCTTTCCACTTTCAAGAATCTCTCTGAATGATTTACATAGTTCTAAAAATGCCTGGAAAATCCATGAAAAAATTACTCCAAAGCCAAACAAGCATGATTAATCTTAGCTGTACTAAGTGGGAGTACAGCTGTAAATAAATGCTATTTGTTATCTGTCCTTATATAAATAGGTAACCTAACTGGCACAAATCAAAAGTTGTTTCCTATAGTAATAATACACAAAGAGGGGTTTATCATATTCTGAAATATTTTGGCAACCACTATAATTTTTAAATTGCAATGCCCCCCTTTTCTTTAAAAAATACTGTATATCCAGGAGTCATGTATTTCCCACTGAATTCATTCTTCATGCAATTCCAGTTTATTAAAGAAGTTAAAAATTTACATAACTCAGATGGGATATGATTTTAATGCCTCATCACACTACTCATGATTTGCTTTTTAAGCTAGATCAGAATGATCTTTTCTCCTTTCTTCAGACACCTACCTTCAAAGCTAATATTTTCTGAACAGTCTCACGAGAGGCTGCCTGCAACCTCCCGAGCTTGGCTTGGTTATAGAAGGCTTGCAATTTGAAGTATTCCACCAATACCCTGTGCAGCTTCTTTTGCAGCTGAGAGAGCTAAAAGAGGAAAGGGGAAAAAATAAGTCAGAGTGGGAGAGGAAATTAATGGCAGTGTTCAAGAAGAATGATGGAGGGAAATATAGAAAGCAGTCAATAGCCCATTCTGCACTGTACGGACCTGACAGGAATTTCACAGTCTCTTGATTTTTCAACCCACTCATGTGCATTCATCAGAAACCAGTCACATCTGGCTGCCAGGATGGGGGGTTAATTTTCTCTAAATGCCTCAGCAGTTTTGTTCTAGCTGAGGCAAACTCTGTGACTGCAAAGCTGATGAGTAAAATATTTCTACTTCACCCAGTTTAACTCAAAACCGATAGCCTCGGGACATATTGAACCTTTCTTTAAAAAATAATCTTTTGAAGCATTTTGAATGGCACATCAGGTCAGGCCAAAGTTTAAAATGCAAGTTTAAGAATTTGATGGACACTGTGGCTCATTTTTCCTTGTAAAACTTATCATAGCTTGGCAATGTGTGCTTCAGACCATGACAAAACTAAAGAAAATTAACTTCACCATCAGCAGCTAAGGGAGAACAATAACAGGAAAGAAATTTCCAGACAGAACTCCCTATTAATCTACCTAGCTATAACCATGTGACAACAAAGCATCTAGCTGTACTAAATTGCAGTTAAGGCAGCAGCTGAAAGTGACACTACCTTATCTATATCTATCTGTCTAGATGTATACACGTGCACATACAAGCTCAAACATTTGAATTTAAGGACAGGTATGGTTTTCACCTCTTGTAAGTATTTAATTGAAAAAGAATACTAAATGCAGCAGAAATTTGACAGCTGCTTTAGGAATATTATTCACATCGTATTTTTTTTAATTGTTTTCACACTTGCAACAGAATAAATAAATATAACTTTGGGACAATAAATCTATCTATCTTATCTGTTTTATCTATCCATCCATCTACGGTTACAATAGGCCCAGAGTGGCTTGGGTATTTAGGTCTCCCTGCCTGCCCCCAGTCATCAAACCAGTAGTTTCCTATTTCACTTGACAAATGTCTTTTGAAGTGGTGGAAACTTGCAAAGCAACTTAACTATATGGGACAATGATCTCTCCAAAGAAATTCCATTGAAGATGTCCAAGTCCATGGGAGTGTCTTAAAGAATAGCTTGAATCCTGACAATATTTTTAGGAGTAAAAAATATCGGTAAACTGGAAAATAGTAAGCCCTATGATGCATAGTTTGTTTTTAATGACTTTTGCTACTTAGCTATGCTACAGTTGTATTAGAAAATCTTAGCCACCATCATCAGTGAATGACCTTTCTAAGCTTGCTTGTCAACCAGATTAAAACAATAGTATAATACTACTTTGGAAGTCTTCCAATTCATTGAGGTCAAAACCAGAATGAATGCATGAATAAAAATACTTTAATTACATAAAGTAACATTCTTTGGTTGCCCATATTCTTTTCCTTGTTGAAATCTTGCTTTCAAATTACAATTTATTACAATTAAAATAGAAAATAGCCAAAACTCATAGAATAACAGAGAAGCTTATAAAAATTAATGGCCTTTCACGCCTAAACAACATGCAATATCTTTGGCTCTTATACAAAATACTGTCAGGAAAATAAGCATACTGAATTATGATAATTTACAAGTAAATTGTCAGATGTTATATTTTTTCTACCCTGCTCTATGGAATAGAGAGTTTGTCTCTGACAGAAGGCCACCTGAAGAGACTAGAAGCATTTGAAATGTGGATTTACAGGCGGCTGTTACGTATAAGCTGGATTGACAAGATCAGAAATGAGGAGGTGATAAGCCGCCTGGGAAAGCCAAGGGAAATCATCAAAACAATTAAAAAATGAAAATTAGAATATTTCAGACATGTGATGCAACATCCAGAAAAATACAGCATACTCCATTTAATCCTCCAGGGAAAGATTGAAGGCAAACGAGGTCCAGGCAGAAGAAGTGATTGGTTTGGACAAAACTCAGCAGCACTTTTTTGTGCGGTTGATGATAAAAACAGGATCGCCAATATGATCGCCAACGTCCAATAATGGATATGGCACAAGAAGAAGAAGAAGAAGAAGTAAACAACGTTATAAAAGTTAAAAGTTGTAAAAAATAGAAATAGATATCTTATTGAGTAACCTAATTGTGACATGTCAACAATTACCATACCAGGTGTAATTGTAGCACTAGGAATTGAATCAAATATGGTTGCATTTTTCACACTGTAAGGCTTAGATAATTAGTACCACTTGCTTTCAAGGACTAGGATCCAAAACATGTTAACGTACGCAGTGATAAATATACTTCAAGTGGGATCAAATGACCATGCAAGGAGGGGATACTGGGAGTTTAGTCCAACAGGACTGGAGAACAGCAGATAAGAGTAAGTGCCATGAAATACTTTGGAAACTCTGTAAAGTTTTAAAAGCCCTTTCTGAGATATAAAGAGTTATATGTTCTGAGCAACAGTAGTAATTTTACTACAAACTCTTGATTACCCAAGTGTGTCTGATTCTAGTCAACCTGTCATAGGGAAAAATGAGGGAAGATAAAGTCCTACAAAGAGCTCATGAAATGAAAGAAAAGGAAAATAAGTTAAAGATAGGAAAAGATAAATACAAAACTTAGCTAAAGATACAGAAAATGAAATACCTAGGATTGTGGAAGTTAAAGATCTCTGCCTCACTGTTTACTTTCAGTTTGATGGATAAATAGATAAAAATATAAGAGAAATCCCTGTGGAATCACCCAACTAAGGATTCATAGCAGAAACAGGCTTGCACTGTTTGGGAATAATAACCCATACAATGCAAAATAAGATCCTTTTTGTCGACAATAGTTTTGACATAATAAAAAAGGACAAGTAAAGAACATGCACAAAACTATCAATAGCATATTTAAAAGAGTATCAAATTCAGAAAAGAAGAAGAGAACAATAACAGACTATCTTTCCTAGATATTCCCATCAGCAGAGAACGCAGTGGAAGACTTCAGACATTGACACATACAAAACAATGCTACAATACCAGAGTAACAATTCTATTGCCTACAAAGAAACAATCAGCTCTACAAATAGTATTCAGATGAGCAAAAACACAGAGCTCCGTAGAGAGAAAATAGATTATCTTTACTGCATCCTTCAGTGCAATGGGTAACCACAGAACTTTAAAAAAAATGTGCCTTTTTATACAACTAGCACAACCATCACAATTGATGAAAAGAATAATAATTCCATACATCAAAAGTATCTTAGAAATCATCAACAGATTAAGTGTAAGTATCAAGAGACAACAGAATTAACCAATGCTGATTTATTATTAAACATTATTTATCAAATTTATATAGTCATCCATCTCACTGAAAAGACTCTGGACCGTGCACAGCAGTCTGAATGTTTTGAGGAACAATTACAGGAAACAATGATCAAACATCACTAAATATCTTAAAATTTAAATGTTTTTATTTCAAGATTCAAGATTCATTAAATAACAGAAGAAAGATTAAAAATGTAATTTTGCTGAGTTTTTATAGTTTTTTAAGAAAAAGTAGCAAGAATCTTCCCTGTTATGTACCCATCATATGAAAGTTGCTAATCAGGTTCTTGTTGAAGAAGTTGTGAACACACATTGACCACAGGATGCTTCCCACTTTGATTATTTAGAAAACAGCTTGACATAGCCCTCTTTCCATCTGATTCAATGCACAATCTGTATACAAATCTTAATTCAAATACTTACATTTCTCATTTACTAAATTGGAAACCAGCACAATGCCATATTTTTTTTTTCAATTTGGCATATTCTAAGCATTAAGCCTCTTTTTTCCCCACTCTCTATATTAGAGATTTAATTAAATAGACAACATGGGAAAACACGTTTGTAGATGACTGTCTAGGTTTCTGTGCGTGCATGAATGTTTGACTTGCCGTTACTCAGTAACAGATTTGGTTATTTACTGAAACTGTAGAAAAACTGAATACAGTTCTAAAAACTGGAAGAGGAAAATGCAATTTTGGGGAAAAAAACAAAGATTTGAGAACTGAATTTGTAATGCTGTGAATAACACAGGTCTAGGACTACTCGCCATGGGAAACTTGCCATGGAAGAACTCGCTGCAGGACAAGAGTTACATTAAGAAATGGTAGTATAGAATCATTAAAGAAACAATGGGAGAACAAAGACATTTCTCTTATCTTCCCCTAAGTTCTTATTTTGGCTCATGGCCAGGAGCTTTTCAGGACTTGTGATTAAATTAAAAATGATATTACATAATAACGTTCTTAGCTTCATCGAATATTTGACAACAATCAAATACTGTTAATAATAAGCAAACAACTGATACAACAGCTGCCAATATTATATGGATAACTAGCAGAAGTGTTAACCTGGAACATCTTTATTTTTATTTTTTCCAATTCTTTGCCAATAATAGTTTACCAGTAGTTAGTAAGTTATAGACCCTATCTAAATATATTCTATTTTTGAGTCTTTAAAAAATATCTAATAGAAATGCTTCTGATTAATGGATAAATTTTCCCAATACATTTTTACATTTCTACATTACCATTTTCTAATGTTGGAAAATGACAACTAAAAAAACTGGTAAAATTATATCCCAGTTAGCCTGAAAACTCACAATGTTAAGAAAAAAAAAAAGAACTACTGTCTTATCACTATTGTATGTTTATGAAAAGCTGTAAATGGAAAGTTTACTTGAAGAGCAGCTACTTCATTTGCTCACAGTATCATGGTCCTTGAAGAAATTATTTCATAACCAATAGGTACAATTCTGAAGTTGCCATGGGTTCAAAAGATTTACTTATTATATGAGCTCTAAGAAACATCAATGCCATTAAATCTATTCAGGCTAAGGCTCAGAATATATGGAACTGAAAGTCATACAAAAGGGAAGGGCACAGGTATAGCCACTGATTACCTATTTGTTAGTCGATGTTAGACAATGGGGTAACTTTTGAAAGATTTGTTGAATTATGATAAAAGAACGTATGTTTAG